TGACAAAGACCCAAGGCTTACCTTCTACCTATGAGAAGAAAACAAATGCAAACTGGATTTTGTTTGCAAATGTCCATAAACCTAATTCCATCACTTAAAGTGTACGTGGAATAGTGGGAAACAGCGGGGTGAACAGACTGAAACTATGCTTTCCAAACGTATCATGTACATCATGATTTTTCTTTCACATTAGCCTAATTTCAGGAGTGGGTGAGTGAACTTAACTAGATCTGAACTTGTATGAACATTACAACCCAGAGCCCACACCAGCGCTGGAATTTGGCAACAGAACCTATGGGCTCTATAGGCCTTTGAGCAGAGATTTATAAGGTTATTTATGCATCTAAATTGGTGTAATTTTAAGCAGTGGGAGACCCCATCTGAAGACCTTCATAGTGTCATACTATTTTGTCTGGGTACGGCTTTCAGAATTAAAATAAGAAAATATTTAAAGAGTAATTGTATTACATACAAACAATTATAATCCCTATTCTTGACACAAAGCCACCATAGATCAGTAAAACTTACATTTACTATTCAAAGTCAAGTAGATTTTAGCAAGAGTTGAAATATTTTATTCATCATTAAAAGCTATTTTGCGATGATGAGGAAATGTTTAACTTCACGAAAGTGTGGGCATATTGGTAGTAATAACAAATAAGTTAAGTGTCCCTTTGTCTCCAGAAGTAATCGACCATTTACATTCTCCAAGGATTCTTTTAATAAAATGGACAAGAAAAAAATCAATTAAAATAGTGAGATGCCCCTTTGATTCAAGTTAGTTCAGCAGTCAGTGCATTTCACGATAATCTCTTTTTCTTGTGCTAAAGTAATATACAGTTTTGCCATGTTTTTAAGTACTATATTTTTCATAATGAGGCTGTTTAAAACTGAGCACTGGAAAGAGAGCGGGTGCTGATACAGCAAGTGTTATGATATAAAACTGGGGTTATGGGCGAAGCACACACCAGAAATGGAAAACGTGATTAGAGGCAAAACGGATGATGCAAGGTTCTCATATAACGAGCCAGGGAAGTAAACTAGCCTCAAAGACCCTGACTATCTACCTCATCTCCACTATCTAGAGCTATTGTGCCCAAGAGCACCTCTAAAAATACTGTAATGGGACATCATTTCTGGAATTGCTACCTACATAACATAAAGTAGTCCCAAGAATGAAGTCAGAACTTGAAGAATTCAGCAAGTAATTCCACATTTTTTATGCCTCTGTTAGTTCACTACACCGCCCTCTAGCCTGTATTTGACCCATTCTCTCACTTAATAAAGGGTGTAACCATATTAGCATTTCAAAGTCATAGGATGTTTGATGCACTATAACGTTGATTTGTTTTTTCCCATTTCAAAAATCATGACTCTAATATAGTACTGGGACTAATACTCATTTGAGATTACAGAAATAATGCACACATTCCTAGAATCAGAGAAGCAGCGTAATTTTGGAAGAGAGATACCAAGGTCTCCACATTCTGAAAACGCCAGCATTGTGTTCTTTACCTTTGCTTTTCCCCATCTCTTTTTCCCTCAGTGGGTGTCCATGCATGATTATTCTTCCAACATATTTGCTGGTGAAGACTGTGGCGAAAACTTTGGGGATGTTGGTGTATATGGTCATGGTAAGACCAAAACCAACCAAAGGCAGGTATTTGGAAATAAACTGGCCTAGGCACTTTATGAATGAGATACCTAGCGCCTGCCAAGGAGAATGAAAGCCGTCTTTACTGGGATGCAGAGAAATACAAGAAATTAAGCAAAAAAAACAAAGAAGCAAACCAAAAAAAAATTATGTCTTGCAAAGAAGCCTGAATTCAAATGAGCTTTTAATCAATTTTGTAACAACTGGCATTCATGAGAAACTCTATAACCCTTATTAAAATGGAAATAAAAACCAAGGATAAGAATTCTGCTCTCCTGGCCTGTCTCCAAGTAAGGTAATTTTGTTTTGTCTACTCAAATTATCCCTGAGGTAACAATTATCTCATACTTTTTAAAAACTACTCATCCCTATGTTACTGGCTAGAACCTTTACTGAACAAAAAGCTGCCCGATGGGGCCATGACACTGCATCCTGTTTGCCTGGGACGGTCCTTGTTTTCACCGGTTGTCCCAACATTATTAATACTGCTTCCGTAACCCTTCTCTGGAGTGTTCCGATTTGGTCAATGTGTTTTATGGTTGCCCTGCTCATGCCACCCGAGGACTAAGGGAAGAGGGGACCGAAGTCAATCTTTCAGTAAAGGAAATATCAGCATAAGGAAATTTACATGAAAGCCTAAGACTGGCTTTCTAAGATTCTACTACCTTGAAAAGTCACCTAGACCTGGAAACCTTCCATTGTATTGAGGACTCGCACAGAACTAAATGAACAGTAAACACTGCAGTCTATTTACCAACTTGAATAATTAAAACATGTCTATTAAACTCCAAATAAGGACAGAATCCGTGAACACAGAATGTATCTTGGGCCCTGGCCGGTGTGGCTTAGTTGGCAGGGTGTCGTCCAGTGCATGGGAAGGTCACTGGCTGGATTCCTGGTGAGGGCACATGCCCAGGTTTCATGCCTGGTCCCTGGCCAGGGTGTGTGCAGGGGGCTGCCGGTTGATGTTTCTCTCTCATATTGATGTTTCTCTGTCTCTTTTTCCCTCTTCCTCTCTCTCTAAAATCAATAAAAATATATTTCAAAGTAAAAAGAATTTATCTTGGGTACTCAGCTAGGGTATTGGTAATGGTCTTACCTAATCTTGGTCAGGAATTGCCTCAAAATAAATATAGCCAAAGTATTTCAAAGCACACATTTTATTCTTTGTCCATAAAGAAAATCAATTTACCATTATAGAAAATTCTTGAACTCAGTCATTTCCCTTTAGAAAGAAAAAGCTCCACTTGGTGGGTTTTGAAAAAGTCTACATTTTCAAAAAACAAGATTAAAATATTAAATGAAAACATCAATACTTAATATTTATTGCATCCTTACTATGTCAGTCACTGTGATAAGTGCTTGATAGGCATAATTTTATTTACTATACGACAAGTATTATCATCTCACTTTAATATGAGCAAGCTGAAACCTAGACTTTAAAGAACTTGCCTAAGACCACAGAGCCAGCAAGTGGAAGAAACAAGATTTTAAAAAACTAGTTTTTATCTGTAGCATAATATGCTCTTGTACCTTAGAATTGCAGATACATTTTTAATCTTTTCCTACTTCTATATAATGAAAAGCCTTATTGTCCTACCTCTGACCTTCTCTTCCCTCCTTTACTAAATTGGAAATCAAAGCCAGAGAATATGCAGAGAAATAATCAGCTTTGTTAAAAGGCTTTTGAGCTCTTTACATCTCCCCAAATATTGACTCAAATGTCATTTTCTCAGTGAGCCCTACTCTGACCATTTTATTTAAAATTTCAACTATCCCACTACCCACACTCCAAATTTCCCTCACCTGGATATAATTTTTATACTACGTATCACCTTAAAACTATGTAATTTGTGCCCGGCCAGTGTGACTCGGTGGTTGAGCGTTGACCCGTGTATCAAGAGGTCGCTAGTTTGATTCCTGGTCAGGGCACATGCCGGGGTTGTGGGCCCGATCCCCAGTGGGGGGCATACAGGAGGCGGCCAATAGATGTTCTCTCTCATCGATGTTTCTATCTCTCTCTCCCTCTTCCTTCCTCTCTCTCTAAAAAACAAAAATCAATAAAAAGCAAAGAGCTTTTCCAAAGAAAGGAATAATAGCACGCAAGGCCAATATATCAGTATGAAAAGTCTAAGAAGTGCCTACCTACAAAAGACCGGAAGAACTTTAACTTCAAATCCATGATGATACTGCATTTAATTAGAGTAAACAGACACAATGGAAATATAAACTCAAAAACTAAAAACAAACTGGTAGACTCTTATCATGAGTGGGTAATTTTTACTAATAAGGAATTGATAGATATTAAAAGTTTGCAAGGGGTTTTGTTGTTTAATATATCATTTTTGAGCAATACTGAAGAGTCACATTAATGGGGAATCTTAGCAAAAAATGAGAACAATGAATTATTCCCTAATCAATGAGACTGAGACAGCTCTCTAGGTTGTTTTTTATTATTATTATCTTCTCTTATTTAACAAAGACATTTTGTGCACACAAAAATTCACTGATTTAATGATGAAAAGAGTCTTTCTCTTATACAGACTCCAAGAATTAAATTGAAATTTAAGATTAGATAAATTCCTTGAAGGAATCATGTCACTGAAACCAAAGTGAGTATTGTTTAGAAGCCATCTGGTATGAGAGCATCGAGTTAAAAATTGATTCTGATGCAATTTGAGTTTTTTAACGTTAAGATTGATTTACACCAGATCAATCTCCTACTTTTTAAATGGCATCACGATAGTCATATGCTGTTGCTCATTGTTAATGTTGACTTTAAAGCACAATCCTTAACACTTGTCCTACCTGCTGGCATTAGACTAAATCACCAAGGATCAGCCCATAAACTCAGAATCCGCTGCTGCCTTCCGTGGATGGAGCCACCTGTGCGGTTTACAGTAGCTTTCCTACTAAAAGGTCAGCTGAGACTTTAACATGAACTCTGTTAACAGAGCTTCATTTTTAATCAAAGGTATTTTTCAAATTCCAGTACAGAACGTTCTCATCTTTTGACACCAGTTATTATCACAAGCTTAGAATCAAACACAATGAAGGCATTTCGCAGCGTCCCAGCCATGACTCAGCAGCATAGACGAACCTGTTCCTCTATCTCTGACTACCATTTAACTTGGAAGAATTCATCATGGGAAAATAATATTTGACCTCTGTGAATTAGGAATATTTTTCTTGTGAAAGGTGATATGTGGTTTCCAAAAAGTTACTTGAAACTAGAAGACACTAAAGCAGTGTGTTTAATATCATAGAGACATCATTAAAATATTATGAATCGTAAAGCAATGATCAAATCTTTCTGAAAATCCCATTTATGATATTATGGCTACAACTCACAGCTCCAACTCTCACCTCAAAATTTCTTCCAAAATTCACAGCAAAATCTCTGGCTCTTCTCCTGAGTTTTCCTGTGAATCCCAGATATGATGGGTGTTTCTGGCATTACCTGTGTAATTCACAAACATCTCAAACTCAAAGCATTCAAAAGAGAATTACTTTATATTCACCAGACCTTCTCCTCACAGTCGTATGACTGACAACACTGTTCATCAAACAACAGAAAGTTACTCTCAACTAATTTTTATTCCCCCTTACGTCTCACTATGTCAGTTTTCATTTGATTTCTCTTCCCGGCTTTTGTTTGTTTGCACCTCACTCCCCACTACTGCTGCCTTAAACTAAAGCCTTAGTTATTTCTGATTGAATTGTTACTAGTTCACCTTCATGCAGTTCACAGTTACTTATTCCAAACACAAATCCAATCTTATCATTCCTTCCATTAAGAATCTTCCCATGGGAAAATATTTTCCAATGATTTTTCATCACCTACCGTATTATGTTCAAACTCCTTAATCATATCACACAGGACCATTCCTGAGCTTGCTGGTGTCTATATTTGCAGCTCATTCTCTCACCCCTGGTATATCCCAAACTCCAACCAGGCCATCCTAGAATCCCAGGAACACAGCATGGGCCCTCAGAAACAAATTCTCATCCTGGGCATTTGCACATTAATGTCTGCTTATTTAGCTTTAATTTCCGAACCCTTACATTTATTAATGTGCTACAACTACAAAATTAGGACCGATCCCACGAAAGATGCAAAATGCAAAATGAATAAAAGGTGACGTGATGATAAAATGAAACAGAGCAAGCGAGTAAAACATAAAAAGAACAGAGTAAAGTTCTAAAAGCCACACCACTACCTGAACGGATAAATTTGATTAGAATTTTCTTCATGTTCATGTTTTTAAGCTTGGACTTCGAGAGAGAGATGATTGATGGACTTGGAGGAAGAGTGTTTTCTTTCTGTCTTAAAAAGATAAAGAGCATGTGTAGAAGTAAGGGGAGAAAGCACAAAAAAGTTCCTAGCCTACATCTAGATTATGATGGCTCAAATGTTCACATGCCCAAGGAAGTAGTTTATAGCATATTTTAGAAGCTTCTAAGGGTCATCTTCAGAAGGAAGGGCTCCACTTTCCAGGCAAACATAATATTTTCTGAAACCCGCTACCTGTGGATGGCATGAAACCGCAAGATTTTAACTAGAAAGTTTGTAAATATTGAATTATTTATTTATTTATTTATTTATGTATGTATTTATCTATTTATTTATTTATTTATTTTTGTCTTCTAAACGTGCCTTTTATGTACATTTGCCTCCCAGATTTCTGACAGCGTTAATACAATAATTTAATATTTACATGTATGGTGAAGCCACTCAGAATGGGGTGTTGAACACATAACTCCCTGGGTTTTTGCTAATGAGAAAGCAATTCCTTCTTTAACTTTATCTCTAGCAAAACCCAAAGGTTTACGTTGTCAGCACCAGGCTATGCCTGTTTTTCTTCGTCCACTGGAAGGAGACACGAAGAGGAACGCTTCTCAGCGTGAACAAACTGCAACGTAGCTGAAAAGCAAATTGAATTACAGCTGCCAGGCTAAGCCTGCTTTTCACGGTGTTTATCGCACTGACACAAACACATCTGTTTGTGACATTAGAGTCCAACAGGGGTTGCTACGGAGGAGGACCGCTCGCCTAGGAATAGGAAAACAGTCCGCAGTCTTCCAGGGCCTCCGCAGGGCCGGCGCCAGCAAGCTTGACCTTTCCACGCCTGGGAGCCTACTTCTTGACTCCTCTTTTCCAAATACGACCTGGAGGTCAGGGGGTGGCAAAGGACGCTTGTTGAATGCCTACTAACCTCTATGTAGTTTGTGATTTCAAGGCCATTTAACTGTATTGTTTCAATCTCCTTTCCTTAAATCCTCATCTTGTTGGTTAGGGGTTAGGCCTCCTGAGGGTCAAATGAGAAAACCGAAGTGGCCCCCGGGTTTGTGCAGCTCTGCTTCAGATGAGCCCCGCAGGCCTTACGTCGCAGTGGTACAGGGCACTAGTCAGGGCAGAATCTGGATTTGGGGTCCCCGAGGTAAACTCCTCACTTAACACCTATGGCCTTGGGAGAGCTGTTCCACTTCTCTGTAACTCAGTACCCTTCTTTTCAAAATGGGGATGAGAGCCCTTGTAGGTTTGCTCATTGGTTAGAGCATCAGCCCGAGGACCAGAGTCTTGGGTTCAATGCTGGTCAAGGGCATGTACCTCAGTTGGGGTTTGGTTGGTGGGGGTCATGCGGGAGGCATTCAGTCAATGTGTGCCTCTCAGGTCAATGCCTCTCTCTCTCTCTCTCTCTCTCTCCCCCTCCGTCCCTCCTTCTCATTCCATTCTGTCTGAAGATAAACAGAAAAAAGTTATCCTTGGGTAAGGATTAAAAAAATTTATAAATGGCCCTGGCGGGTTTTCTCACTGGTTAGAGCATCGGCCTGTGGACCGGAGAGACCTGGGTTCGTTCCCACTAAGGGCACGAACCTCGGTTGCGGTTTGTTCCAGCCCCGCTTGTCCTGGTTGCGGTTGAGGTCATGTGGGTGGCAGCTAGTCAATGTGTCTCTGTCACATCGATGTTTCTCTCTCCCTATTCCCCCCTCTCTCCCTCCCACTCTATCTGAAGATAATTGCAAAAATGTCCTTGGGTGATGATTAAAAAAAAAAGTAATAAATGTAAAAACAAAATAAAATGGAGAGACTGTTGTGAGGATTAAGTAAAATAAGAAATGTACTCAGGTTACTGCGAGGCATATTGTACGTACACATACATAAAAATAATAGTAATGCTGATAAAAGAACAGGAAAAGCCATTCCATAATGCTATTTTGTCATGGACACAGATAGCTGAGTAAAGTAAGGAGTGGAGGAATTCCAAGGAGAACTGAACATAGAACAGTAAAGAATTGAAGAATTATGAGGAATTGTTAGTGGAAATGAGGGAAAAAACCACAACAAATAAAACAGGGGACACCTAAATATCTAAGGTCCAAAGTAAACATTTAAAATATGTCTCCTATGGTTTACTCACCAAGATTGATAACAAGCTAAAAAATGATTTCCCAAACAAAAGGCATGTAGCTATATTCTTCTGACTTGCCAAAGACTCCTGGTGTCTTGTTAGAGAGTAACAAGATCAGTGTTCACCTGAGACACAGCTCATTTAAAAGAATCTTAATTTTCAAAAGCATTTCACAGTTAGTGGACTAGAAGTGCTCCTATCATTCCAATTTTTAAACCCCTCCATTATGAAAGGGTGCATGACTCCTTTTGAACTGCCTTATATTACCTGAAAATGATTTAAAGTATAGTAATGATGCTTCTAGGACTCCATTCTATTTTAAAAAAACAACAGCACTCTAAATTCCAAATGTGTCACACTACAATGAAATTTAAATGTCCTCAAGAAGCTTTTCTTGGTTATTAGCCCTATACAAGTGCAGATAAAAGTTCAATTCAAATATACTACACACCAAAACCCATTTCCACTGCTCTGATGCAATAGTTGAAGCAAAAGTGCACGGACCATGCATTGTGTTAAGGTCATTTAGAAAGATATATTTATTGTGAAGGTCACTGTAAGCTTTGCCCATTGCTTTACACCTGGTATATTTATTTCCTACAAACATTTAAATGAGCATAATATTTGCAAAAGCAGGGCAACAGTTGCCCTAGGGGAGTCATAAATGCAAAGAATCAAATGTCATAGGAGAAGAAAGGACCCTCTGAAGACAGAGGTCTCTGGAGGTGAACGCGGCGCTGTTTCCTTCAGCACACCCTTGTCTTTCCATGGAAAAGTCCCTCCCCGGAATCTCAGCCCTGGAAGTTACAAAGGAAGAGGAAGGTTCTGAGACTCCCAAGAGCATGAGCGAATAGAATTTAAAACTGAATGATTCCAGTATACTTAAAATATCATTCCAAAGCAGAAATACTGAGGTGTTTTTTTTAAGAATTTACTTTACTTCACATAATATTGTGAGTTTGAAATGACATAAGGTTGTGAGTAATGTTTCAAACCATCCTGGACAGGCACCCAAGGCAGGGGTCGGAGGGTGACAAAGGAAAAGCGCTATCATTAGCCCACTGATAGGCTTCAATTATGAATGGGCATAAAATGTTTGAAATGTCAAGGCACATCCCACTTTTCAACGTACAGCAGACGTCACTCGGCAAACCGCCCTTTAAGAAACGAATCAACAAGCCTCAGAGGAGGGGGAGTTGGGGGAGGAAATAAACCACAGAACTTACATGCGTGTATGCATGACCAATGAACAAAGCTGGGGATGGGGCGGGGTGGGGGGGGGCAGGAGAGGAGGGTGTCAATGGGAAAATGAGAAACAACTGTAACAAAAACAAATTAATAAAAAAAAAAAAGAAAGAAAGAAAGAAACAGGAATCACTGTTGCATGTTCTACAGGAACTCTATACCTTCACTCCCGAATTAGTAAGAAATGACACTTTACAGCTCCTCATCTATGCAATAGATCACTTATATAAGACTTTGATGGGACATTAAACATTAACAGAAAAACAAAAATATTTAGCTTGGCACAATTAACTGCTTACCTGAATGCAGACATCCTGGAACAAGAGTTCCATCGCTTTCCCCACATAATAATTACCTGGTGAAAAAAGCATCATTTCCCACACTTGATTAAAGTAAATAAACTAAAATGAGAAAAATAATGCACCTACCCCACCAAGGAACTTGCATATCACAGAAATGTGCCAATCTGATAAACAACAAGTTCTTCCTATGGAGTATGAGGATGCCAAAATATCAAAGTACCTTTTGTGCTGTGAATAAAAACTTAAAAAGAAAAGATCTAAAGACATCAAAAAAAAATGGTAAACTACCTGGATGGAAGCAGGCATCCAGGTGGGTAATTGAGATGGGATAATGAAGCTTATTCCAAAAAACATGTGAAGAAAAACAGAACTTTCCATGGCTACTTCTTGGTATAAAACTGGGAAGGTTTTGTTACAAACTCTAGAAGGCTTTATTTATACAAATAATGTCTAAATTCCAATTATATGCCCATATAAATTGTTTTCAGGTATTTATTTATTTATTTATTTTTAAATTGATTTTTAAAGAGAGAGGAAGGGCGCGCGCGAGAGAGACAGAGATAGAAACACTGATGAGAGAGAACACTGATTGGCCACCTCCTGAGTGCCCCTCACTGGAGATTTGGCCCACAACCTGGGCGTGTGCCCTGACCAGGAATCAAATTGGCAGCCTCTTGGTGTATGGGTCAATGCTCAACCAGTGAGCCACACCTGCGGGTGTTTTCAGGCTTTTAAAAATAACCCTGGCCGGTTTGGCTCAGCAGTTAGAGTGTTGGCTTGTGGTCCAGAGAGACCCGGGTTCGGTTTCCGCTAAGGGCATGTACCTTGTTTGCAGTTTGTCCCCGGCCCTGGTTGGGTTGTGCGGGTGGCAGCCACTCGATGTGTCCCTTTCACGTCGATGTTTTTTTCTCTCTCTCTCTCCCTTCCACTCTATCTGAACAAAAAATTTAAAAAAATAACTTTTATCATTTAGGAATGATAACCTCTCACAATAGGAGTGACTTACTCTGACAATACAATTCAGGTAGAACTCTAAATCAGGCATGGGAGGTAAACTAGAATCTTCCAAGAAAGGACTGGAATTACAAGAGATTATAACCCAGTTAAACTTATATATTACTCCCCACCACCCCTATAACCATTGATATAAAGTCATGAAGGTTTAATAAATTAGGACTGCAATTATTTCAAATTTTATCTTAGGAGAAAAATTTGACCTTACCTGTTTGGTTTGTTATGTGGTAAGAGTTTCTTCAGTGATGATAAACTTAAGATTTTAAAAAATGCACTGTAATAAGATTTAAGGACTAAAAAGGGAATAAGAGAATATACTTCTGTACTTGGAAGAACATACAATTAGGCTACTATCATGGAATTAAAGAACTGATAAAAATTAATCTACAGTGCTAATGTATATACAATTTAATGTCACTTCTGTATTTTCTATAAAGAAACAAATTATAACTAGCTCACTCTATATTTTTAATGTAAAAATGTTTCTAAAAATCTTAGAACTATAAACATTATTGAAGTTTTTCCCATAAAACTACCAAATTGTTATAGACACCAAATACCCACATACATCTTACATATTTTAAGAAATATGTATTATTATTTCCAAATAATCTTCAAACTACATTCTAGCTTAGAGTCATTGGTCAAATACTATCTGAATAGGAAAATATAAGAAATAAAAGTTCAAAATGAGATTGCTTGGGTTCTATTCCTTCTGGTTGCCATATACTAGCTGTGTAACTTTGGGCAAATTAATTAACTGCTGTGATTCACAGTGCCCTTATCTTCTTTAAAAGCAGGTAGAACCTGCCTCTTATGGCTGTTATAAGAGTTAAAGATATAACATCTGAAGATGCTTATCATTAGCAAAAAATTTTATTAATATTAGTAACTATAATTCTTGATATCATTGGTGATGTTTTAAACTGCAAATGTAGCCCAGCCAGTGTGGCTCAGTGGTTGAGTGTTGACCCATGACCAACAGGTCGCTGGTTCTATTCCCAGTCAGGGCACATGCCCAGGTGTGGGCCAAATCCCCAACAGGGGGCATGCAGGAGGCAGCCAACTGATGTTCTCTCTCATGGATGTTTCTCTCTCTCCCTCTCCCTTCCTTGCTCTCTAAAATCAATAAAGAAAAAGAATAAAAAATAAATTCAAATATGTACACTCTTATTTTTGGTCTGTCCACTTAATTCAAATTTTTAGGTATTTCAAAAGTTGTAGTTTGGTTACCTTTCACAATTAATCTGATAGATAAAACTTAATAATAATTGAGAGACATAAAATTTAAATCTTATAAAATTGTATGTGCATGAACATTCACACAATTTAAATACTTGTGCTCAAACTACTACAAAAACATGGGATTCATTCCAAAATTAAAGACACCTTATATTACTTAAGCATTAATATTAAATATACTTTTATTTTTTATTTCTACATAAAAATCTAAAACATATGTATTTCTATTAATGTTTAATTCTTTGGTCATAACCAAAATACTCTAAAATTAAGAATCTCATTAGAATATTCATAGAATTCGCCCTGGCCAGTTTGGCTCAGCGGTTAGAGCGTCGGCCTGCTGTCCGGAGAGACCAGGGTTTGGTTCCCGCTAAGGGCATGTACTTTGGTTGCAGTTTGTCCCCGGCCCTGGTTGGTCGTGCGGGTGGCAGCCACTTGATGTGTCCCTTCACATCGATGTTTCTCTCTCTCCCTTCCGCTCTATCTGTACAAAAAAATGGAAAAATATCCTCGGGTGAGGATAAAAAAAAAAAAAAAAAAGAATATTCATAGAATTCAATTATATACAATCTAATTTTTATAATGAGTCAATTATACTTATAAGGAGTGCCTACTATGTGCCAGAAAGTACCTGATAGTTTCAACAAGATTAGATACAGGGAGGTAACTGTTAATCACCAGAAATTAAATTCATTCCAGTTTCAATATTAATTGATGAGCTTGAGAAATAGCCAGACAATCTTCTATAAGCAAACATCTCAATAGTCACATTTAAAACTGTCAACAGCAGATCACAAACATTTCAAAACTTTGGATGCATAAAGGAAAAGGCAACAAAAGAAATCCACTTGGATTTCCCCTCCTCTGGTGCATTTCAGACATCAGATGCTTTTGTAGACAAATGCCGAAGACAAAATCAATCAGATCCAATTTCAACAACCTACTAAATTTCACAATATAACAAGGGAGAAACAATGTGTGTTTCATAATTTACAAAAATGTCAAGACATTGTGATAAATCAACAGACAATGGCAGAACAGTAGTATTCTGAAATAGGGAACATTATATTATATTGATGAGTTCAAAAAATATTTGGCAGACAACAAATTTTATGTTAAGATGCTTGAATGCCTATCCTAAATTTATTTTCAAAACAGGAGACTACAGAAAATAATTATTTTGGGGATTTTGAGATGCTTGGTAGAGAATAATTATAAATTATGTATTTCATTTAAGAAGATCCTTAGAGACTAACCATAATAGAATGTTCTAGCCAACTTAAAAGGAAATCAAAGATTCAATACCTGATTTAAACTTCTATAAAATACCGTTTTCATTGAGAATTCAATAGTAGTTACTACAGATATTGAATGCCATTCTCCTCAAAATAAATAAGTATTTCTTTTACATATGTTCTGGCTATATTTTATCCTTTCTTGTTTTTCAAAGATTTAACTATATTAAACTGTTATTGATAATATTTTTGAAAGATAAAACCAATAAAATTTTAATAAGTATTATATTTCTAAAAAGACATAAGTTTGCAGAATTATTATTTTAAATTGTTATGATTTCAGAGTTATTTCTTTAGAAAGAAGAGAGAAGGATGATAGCAAAAACCGAAATAGATTTTCTTTATACTTTTGTACGTTGTTCTGGTAAAAGAAGTCTAAAAATGTAATTGAGTAAGAACATTTAAGATGTAGTCTCTTAGCAACTTTGAAGTATATAATTGTACACCTTAAACTTATATAATGTTATATGTGGGTTATATCTCAATTTTAAAAAGTAATTGGGAATTCTAAACAGATAACAACTCTTGAAAAGCACCTTACCATTTCTGAAGTGCTTGCAAATAACTATTCCATTATCACATTCCTCTCCTCACAAGCTTCTTTTTAAATGAATAGAAAATTCATCTTTATTATCCCTATTTTACATTTGAGAATATGGAGCTTCCAGTTGACTAATTCAATGTCCCACAGCTGGTAAGTAATTTAGTCAGAACCTGAAATCAAGTTTCCTGATTGTTCTCATGACTCCAAGTTGTCTATAGATTAGCAAACCTCAAATCTACAGCTACCAGGGTAATGAAATACTTCTCGTGAATAGTCATGACAATTTCTTTTTGAAATAACATAATGATATTTTTGTGAGAAACAATTCCCCCAAATTACAGTTGTGGATAAAGCTTTCAAAATTGAGCTTTCATGTACCTATTGGGAACTAAATTTTCTTGCTTACCTAACAGCACTGAACTAGAGAAGACAAAAAAACATCGGTTGACTCAACACAGTCACAACTGCTTTACCCATCACAGCCATGCCTCTGAGATCTGAAACTATTCATTTCAACATTTGACAGCGTATTAACAATCTCAGTATTGCGGACTCCTGCTCAGTGTGCTATGGGCAAGAGCCCATGCCTTTAAACAAGCGGGTGGATCGATTGGTCTTTGGTAGAATCTTAGTTTAAGACTCTTTAAGGCACTGATTTATGCACAATTGATCTGATCAGCCATGCAGTCAATGTGATTTATTAGCTAAGATGGCCAAAACCCCTTTTTCTCTCTCTTTTTTTTTTTTCCACACAGTCGTAATTCACCTCATTAGAGGTGGAATCATTATAGGAAGCAACTGAGAAATAAGAAGTTGAACCTGCTGGCCTGACTCCTTCTTTACCCCAGCCTATGGGTGCACCGAGCAGGGATAACCAGACACGAAGACCAGGGTGCCATGCACACAGGTGGAGCCAGGGGGTCACACTGTGGCGGCTACGGATGGGTCGGTTAAGGGGAC